CAGGATAATCCAGTGCTGTCATAGCCAAGATGGAAACCTGGAGCCCCCAGATTCTGGCCATCACCCTGAAATCCCCCAGCCAGCCCACCTGGACTCCATCTGACTCCAACTTGAGAGAGCCCTGGATATCCGGGAAGGAGCCCAGGGCGGTCAGTGTGCTGATGGAGGGCAGTGCAGTCTCGGCTGTGGCCATGGCTGGCAGGCGCCCACCCCCTGCCCCGGGGGTGGACTCAGGCTATGGCTCCTTGGGCTGCCAGTGGTGTGGGCTCTGCCTCTCCACTGGGCCCCTTTGGAAGGCTCCCGTCTGCCCACCGTTGATTGGTTAGAACTCCTGATAAGGGTCAGGCAAGGCAAAGTGGCCCCGGGGAAGGGATGTGGGGGAGGAGTTGGGGGTGGGGGGACAGTCACTTTCTGGGCACAGACTTAACCCCGGGGCTGAACCTTAAACACCGACCCCCACATTTCCAATGCCAAGTCGGATGTTAGAGGTTGGGGCGGGGGTGAAGTTCAGGGGCTGAGTCTCCAAAGAAACTGAGGGGTAGGGGTGGGAGCGCTCTGTGCTTTCTAGAGAATGGGTGGAGGGCAGCGTGGGCATTCTGGGAAGGGGCTGCAGGAGCCCCCTCTCCCCCCCACACAAGGGCTCTGCACCCCCTCTCCTACAGTAAACAGCGACAACGGCGCTGATGGCGGGACTTGGCAGGAGCTGCCTCTCAGTCATTATCAGGGGCACCAGACACTGGATGCTGCTATCAGGTGGAGACTTGGGGCCGCCAGAGCTCTGTCCTCCCCCCCACTTTGAGTGGGAGCACTGCGGGGCGGCGGGTAGGCAAACTGCCCCTCTTCCCCCTGTTGTGAGCAGTGGCAAGAGGAACCGCTTGCCCGTCCACGGTGTTACCATCGGCTGTGGGCTCTGGGTCGGCACTGGAGGGGGTTCGATGGAGCCAGAGGCAGCGAGGAAGAGGTGGCGGGAGTGGGACTCTGCAGGAGACCCCGGCTCCAGTCCTGGCTGCTGCTCCTTGGTGTATGTCCCCACCCTCCAAGAAAGGGGGAGGAGCTATGTCCTCGGTAGAGGACCTGGACACCCATCCCACAGGCATGGGATTACAGAATGACCCAGGTTCCCAGGGACCTCTGTCACCCAGATCTCCCACAGACAGTAAAACCCCAGGCGTGTCCAAGTTCCCTACGCAGGATGACCAGCATAGAACATAATCCTACTCTATGCTTCTCCTTAACGGCTCCTTGGCTTTGAAACTTAACTCTGTGATGTGAATTGCTACACTGTATTGTTCAGGGAGTAATAACAAGGATAGAAATATACTGTGTAAGGGACTGTGGCAAAGCGGGTAAGCCGCTACCTGCAGTGCCAGCATCCTATATGGGCGCTGGTTCGAGTCCTGGCTGCTCTACTTCCAATCCAACTCTGCTATGGTCTGGGAAAGCAGCAGAAGATGGTCCATGTCCTTGGGCCCCTGCACCCACGTGGGAGACCCAGAGGAAGCTCCTGGCTTCAGACGAGCCCAGCTCCAGCCGTTGCAGCCACTTGGGGAGTGAGTCGGTGGGTGGAAGACCTCGCTCTCTTTCTTTGCCTCTGCCTTCCAAATAAATAAATAAAGCTTTTATATATATATATACACGCAGAGTGGACAGTGAGAGAGAGAGAGAGAGAGAGAGAGAGAGAGAGAGAAAGGTCTTTCTTTGCCATTGGTTCACCCTCCAATGGCCGCCGTGGCCGGCGCACCATGCTGATCCGAAGGCAGGAGCCAGGTGCTTCTCCTGGTCTCCCATGTGGGTGCAGGGCCCAAGCACCTGGGCCATCCTCCACTGCACTCCCGGGCCACAGCAGAGAGCTGGACTGGAAGAGGAGCAGCCGGGACAGAATCCGGTGCCCTGAGTGGGACTAGAACCTGGTGTGCCAGTGCCACAGGAGTAGGATTAGCCTATTGAGCCGCGGCGCCCGCCCAAATAAATAAATAAAGCTTTAAAAAAAAAGTTACACAGAGAGTGGGAGAGACAGTTCTTTCATCCACTGGTTCACTTCCCAGATGGCTGCAACAGCCTAGAGCTGGGCCTAGGCAGGAGCTTCTTCAGGGTCTCCCATGTGCAGGAGCCCAAGTACAGGGGCCATCTTCTGCTGCTTTCCCAGGCCATAGCAGAGAGCTGGACTGGAAGTGCAGCAACCAGGACTCGAACCGGTGCCCATATGGGATGCCGGTGTCACAGGTGGTGGCTTTACCCACAATACTGGCCCCAGAATGCCTGCTTTATATATATATATATATAAATATTTTAAAAGGCAGAGAGAAAGGGAGAGACAGAGAGAGGTCTTGCACCCACTGGTTCACTCTCCAATTGGCTGCAATGACTGGGGCTGGGCCAGGCCAAAGCCAGGAGCCAGGAGCTTCCTCTGGGTCTCCTATGTGTGTGCAGGGGCTCAAGGACCTAGACCATCCTCCACCGTTTTCCCAGGCGTACAGGGCATGGGATCGGAAGTGGAGCAGCCGGGACTTGAACCAGTGACTGTATGGATGCTGGCGCTGCAGGCCAGGGCTTTAACCCGCTGCACCACAGCATCAGCACCAGAATGCCTGGTTACCACCTTCTTCCAGGGTTAGAGTCCCGGCTCCACTGTCCATCCTTGTGAGGCAGCAGGTGAAGGCGCAGGTACTTGGCTCCCTGCCGCCCACAGGAAGACCCAGATGGAGCTCCAGGGTCCTGGCTTCCGCCTGGCCCAGCCCCAGCCGTTGTGGGGATTTGTGGGGAGCCCCCGGTGGATGAGGGTCTCTCTCTCTCTGTGTCTGTGTCTCTGCCTTTCAAATGAGAGCAAATACACACAGTCCATCTCACACACAACTCCGTGGAAATCACACCCACGGTATCAGAGAACATTCCAGAACCTCACAGGCACAGTCCACCAGCTCCAGCCCGAGAGAGAGAGAGAGAGAGAGAGAGAGAGAGAGAGAGAGAGAGATTGAGATCTTCCATCTGCTGGTTCTCTCCCCAAATGGCTGCAACCGGCCAAAGCCAGGAGCCTCTTCCAGGTCTCTCACGCGGGTGCAGGGGTTCGGACACTTGTACAATCCTCTGCTGCTTTTCCCAGGTCATCAGCCAGGAGCTGGATCGGCAGTGGAGCAGCCGGGACTCGAACCGGCGTCCATATGGGACGCCGGCTCTGCAGCCAGAGGCTTAAACTCGCTGCGCCACAGCGCGGGCCCAAGGACTAATCCCTAAATTTCACCTTCCACGAACTTCCTGCAGTCCCCTTTGGTAGGGCGCACAGCCCCCGCACGGGGTCGCACGCGCAAGTACAGGGCCCCACCGCAGGACGCCTGCGCTCTGTCCGCCCGGACCCCAGCCCTGGGTCCTGCGCTCGCTTCAGGTGCCTAAGTTAACGCCGCAAACGCTTTTGCAACTGGCCAATCAGGAGCGGACCGAGCCCCCTGCTAGGGCCAATCAGAGCGGGAGCTCAGCGGGCCAATCGGGTTGGCGAACTCGCTGTCCGCCCCCACCATCCCGGTGTCGGGTTTCTCTTAAAGGGGCCACACCAACCTGAGGCTTGGCGCCAGGAGCTCCACAGGCCCGGGGGAGTCGTGTCCCTTTTAAAAGGCAAGCGCCGCGGAGGAGCCGGGGTCCTAGGAAGGACCAATGGGAGGCCGTGTTCAGTCTCCGCTCCGCCCATGTCCGGCTGCGGTCGAAGGTCCGCGGCGTCGCAAGTTTCGCCGTGCACCAGGTGGCTGCAAGGCTGGCGGGGGTCCCGGGGGGCGGGCGGGGGTCCCTGCGCGCTGACGCCCTCGCCCCTCCAGGTCGCCGCCGCCGCCATGGCCCTGAGAGGCGTCTCGGCGCGGCTGCTGAGCCGCGGCCCCGGCCTGCGCGTCCTGGGCGCCCTGCGCCCCTGGGCGTCGGCAACTGCGCGGAGCGGTCAGTGCCGGGGGTCCGGGCCCGGGGGTGGGCGCGGGAGGAGCTGGGGCTCCCAGGGCTCGTCCCGGGACGGCTTTTCCTGTCTTTGCAGCGGAGAGCGGGAAGACGCAGAGCCGGCCGGCCAAGCGTAAGGCCCCCGGGGCTGGCCCAGCTGCGTGTCCGCCGGGGAGGCCGGGCGGGGGCGGGTCCGGGTGGGCTGGGCTGACCCTGGGCCCCGGCTCCCGCCGCCGCAGCCTCGTCGCGCCCCGCGTTTGAGTGGCGGGACCCTTTGCTGCTGGAGGAGGAGCTGACGGCGGACGAGATCCTCATCAGGGACACCTTCCGCACCTACTGTCAGGAGCGGCTCATGCCTCGCATCCTGCTGGCCAATCGCAACGAAGGTGCCTGACCCGAGGGTGGGCACGCCAGGGCCCCCTCCCGCGGGAGCCGGGGCCGGGGCCGGGCTCGACTCTGGGCGTCTGTCTCCTTGCAGTCTTTCACCGGGAGATGGTCTCCGAGCTGGGGGAGCTGGGCGTGTTGGGCCCCACCATCAAAGGTGAGAAAGTCCCCGGGCCTGCAGACCCCACGGCGCCCTGAGTCAGTTCCTCAAGTCCCCCGAGCCAGGGGCCAGTTCAGTGCTCTGTCCTCCTGCCAACCAGGCTACGGCTGCGCTGGCGTCTCGTCCGTGGCCTATGGGCTCCTGGCCCGGGAGCTGGAGCGGGTGGACAGCAGCTACAGGTCCGTGATGAGCGTGCAGTCCTCCCTGGTCATGCACCCCATCCACGCCTACGGCAGCGAGGAGCAGCGGCAGAAGTACCTGCCCCGGCTGGGTGAGCGGCCGCCCGGGGTAGGGGCGGGGGCGGGGCGGGGCGGGGACCCGGGGCTGAGGCTCCCAGAACCCCAGCCTCGCTGGACACTCAAGTCCTGGCCAGCACTGCCCACCCTGGCAGGTGTCCTGTCTGCTCCTCTCACCACCCTGATGCGCTCCCAGCCTGAAGCCTGAACAGGTCACTTCCTAGCCAGGGTCATGCAGCCCCCACCTGACCATGCTTCTGCCGACCCTTATTATTTATTTGAAAGGCAGAGCTACAGAGAGAGCGCTTCCACCTGTTGGCTCACTCCCCAGATGGCCACAGCTGGGCCAGGCCAAAGACAGGAGCCTGGAACTCCATCCGGGTCTCCCATGCGGGTGCAGGGGCCCAAGCCTTTGGGCCATCTTCCACTGCTTCCCCAGGCCATAGCAGTGGAGCAGTGGGGCCTCGAACCAGCAGCCGTACAGGATGCCTGAGTCACATGTGGCGGCTTTACACACTGCACCAAACACTGGTCCCGCTCTGCTGACCTCCCTCTTGTCTCTGGCCACTCTCAATTGCTCATCACCAGCCCAGCTCAGCTCGGTGGAATTCTGCCGATGAACCCCAGGGCCTTTGCATCTCCTGTTCCCTCTGCCGCAATCACTCTTCCCTGCACTCCCGTCCTTTCTGACTCCCTGGGGCCCGGGGTGGGGGTGGGGGGGTGGGCAGCTTGATGACGCTGTCTCTTGGCTGCAGCCAGTGGGGAGCTTTTGGGCTGCTTTGGGCTCACGGAGCCCAACCATGGCAGTGACCCCGGTGGCATGGAGACCAGAGCCCGCTATAACCCTTCCAGCAAGAGCTACACCCTCAACGGCACCAAGAGCTGGTGAGAGGCCTGGGCGGGGGACGGCGGGGCGGCAGGGCCCTGGCGGAGTCCTCACCCAGTGTCCCCACCGCTAGGATCACCAATTCGCCTGTGGCCGACTTGTTTGTGGTCTGGGCTCCGTGTGACGATGGCCTCATCCGGGGCTTCCTGATCGAGAGGGGCACGCGGGGCCTCTCGGCCCCCCGGATCCAGGGCAAGTTTTCCCTGAGGGCCTCGGCCACAGGCATGATTGTCATGGAGGGCGTGGAGGTGCCAGAGGAGAACGTGCTGCCAGGTGCCACCGGGCTGTCGGTGAGTGTGGGGCCCAGGCTGGCGCCCTGAGGCCGCCCCGTTGATGCCCATCTCGCTCATGCTGGCCACCCCCGGGTCTGAGTGTGGGGGACCCAGCCTGCTGAGCCCGAGCCCTGGGACCAGGGCCGTGGGGCTCTCCGGGCCGCTCAGGGTCCCCCTGTGCTGGGTGTCCGGGGCGTCCTCCCCCTCCTACACTGGAGCTGGTTCTGAGCGGCTGGCGCAACATCTCCTGGTCTCGCCCTCCAGGCTCCCTTTGGCTGCCTCAACAACGCCCGGTATGGCATCACATGGGGCGTGCTGGGAGCCGCCGAGTTCTGTCTGCACACGGCCCGGCAGTACACCCTGGACAGGTCGGGGGGCGGGGGCTGCCTGGGGACATGGGAGGCGGCCTGGGGTTCACCCTGCACGCCGTCGGTGGCTCCCCAGCCCCTGCCCCTCCTGGACCTGGGGCTGGGGGCGCAGGGCTGCCCTTGCCCTCACTGTGACCTCGTGCACCCAGGCTCCAGTTTGGGGCGCCCCTGGCCAGGAACCAGCTCATCCAGAAGAAGCTGGCAGACATGCTCACCGAGATCACGCTGGGCCTGCACAGCTGCCTGCGGCTCGGCCGCTTGAAAGATCAGGACAAGTAGGGGCAGTGTGGGCGGGGGTGCGGGCGGGGGCTGGAGGGTCCTGGCCGCCTGGTGGCCCCCGGGGACCTGTTTTCTTTCCTCTTTGGCCTGCCACGGGCCAGATCAGGGACAGCTTGGCAGCTGTGTCCAGCCATCCTGCCCACCCTGGCTGTTTGCGTGGGCCCTGGGGTTCCTGTGTGCGTGCAAGGGGGTGGGGGGAGGGTCAGATCTCTTGGTCCCCGACCCCTGACCCCCACCGCGCACTGTGTGGACGTGCCTTCCCCAGGGCCACCCCTGAGATGGTCTCCCTGCTGAAGCGGAACAACTGTGGGAAAGCCCTGGACATCGCCCGGCAGGCCAGGGACATGCTGGGGGGCAACGGGGTGTGCGACGAGTACCACGTGATCCGCCACGCCATGAACCTGGAGGCCGTGAACACATATGAAGGTGGGAGTGAGCATCATTTGTATACTGTAGGGCTCTGCCCTCAAGAGTTGGGGCCCATGGGGAGACGGACATTGGGGAGGCCGCACACAGAACAGCCTGGGCCCCTGGGCAGAGCTGTGCGTGTGCAGGGAGTGGGGGCAGCCCCTTGCCCCTGCACGGCCCAGTATTTTTTTCCCCCGTGGGGCAGCCAGTTGGGACCTCCTGGGAGCAGCAAGGGAAAGGTGGGGGCAGGGGCGGCAAGTCTGAGCAGCAGATGGGGACAGACGCACAGGCGTGTGGGCGACTGAGGAGGGGCTCAGGGGAGCCCGCTGGGCCATGGGGAGCTCTGGCCGCAGGGGCGGGGGTCTGCGGTGGCTTGGCTGGCCCGGGCCCTCCTGTTTCTGTGTCGCTAAGCGGCTCTGCAGGAAGGAAGCCGGCTGGGTGGAAAAATTAAACATTTAATCAACTGTGTGATGCCGGGGGCAGGAGGCCCCAGGTTGCATCTTTGCCAGGGTGCAAGACAGAACTGTGGGAGACCACCTTGTGGGCGTGGCCCCGCCGGCGGCCTGGGTGGCAGTCCCTGGGCCAGGACGTGGCTTCCTGGGAAGCTGCTGTCAGCATTCGCTGTCTCTGTGACTCTGCTCTTCTGCAGGGACAGCCTGGGGGGGGGGGGGGGGACAGGAGGATGGCCGCTGAGGACCCCGGCCCGACCCTGCCGTCCTCTCGTGCAGGCACGCACGACATTCACGCGCTGATCCTGGGGAGAGCCATCACGGGAATCCAGGCGTTCAAGGCCGACAAGTGACCCCGCGGCCCCGGGGCCGGGGGCCTGCTGAGCTCTGAGCTCAGGCGGGGAGGTGGCCGAGGGAGCCGGCCCTCGTCGTGGGAAGAGGGAGATGCTGCCTCTCCCGTCGGAAGCCATTCCCGGGGGCTGCAGGCTGGAACTCTGTGCTCAGCGTTTCTCAACCCACTGGAACCCCGGACCAGAAACCACTCAGTGGCCTCAAAACAGGAGCACAGGCCTCAGGCTGCCTGTGCCCCCGCCCCGCCCCGCCCCCCGCAGCAGTGCCTTACTTGGAAAATAAAGAGCCCGCACGGCTGAGCCACGCGTGTCAGCTGCGTCTCCTGCTCGCCGCCAGGGCAGCACTGCCAGCCACAGCAGTGCGGCACGACGCAGGGCTGGGTTGCCACGACACCACGTGGGACTCTGCCCCCAGGGGTGGCCCGGCCCCACGGCTGAGTTTCAAGTCTGCTGTCATCCCGGCCAGGGCTCAGGGCCCTGACAAACGGTCTGGCTTCTCAGCCTGGACGGGCCCTGTTCAGCAAGGCCCCGGGGTGTGCCGGGCGGAGCAGCAGGTGCACCCGGCTCCTGTGTGCGGCTCCTCGCCCCCTCTCCTACCTCGGGCTGCAGGCACAGGTCTTTGTACACGGTCTCCACGGTCTGACAGACTTGCTTGAGCTCCGTCTCCAAGTGGCTGATCTTGGCCATCTTCTGGGTGAACTCCTGCAGCTTCTCCTGGATGACCTTGTTGTGGTGGTCGTAGATCTGGTACATCCGCTCCTCCAGCTTCTCCGTCAGGTCCGAGACCTAGAGAGGCAGGCGGCGCAGACGCGGGCTCTGAGCCCGCACGATCGCTGTGCTGGCTACACACGGGAGCTGGGCGTGGGGGCTCCCGGGTCCCCGGGCTGCTGTGGACACCGTGGGACGGCAGACACGCAGCCATTAGTGCCAGCCCCAGGCGTGGTCGTGCTGACACGGGCCCCGCCTTGCCCGCGCTGCCACAGCCCTGGGGGTGGGCTCTGGGTGCAGGGCCACCTTGGGTTCTTCAGCCTGGCTCTGTCATTCGAGGCAACTCATGTCCTTGTAGACCTCAGTTTTCTCATCTACAAAACGGGCCCGGCTCTCCTTTGCAGGGTTGTCAGGGTACCCGGGAAGTGTGGCGCCATATGCAAAGTGTCGGGACCAGGCACGTGAGGCCCCTTAGCCCCCTCCCTCGCCACGCCACCTGTCTGTCACCTTGATCTTGAGGCTGTCCCTGAAGTTGGTCATGAGCGCGTGGTCCTTTTGCCTGCTCTCGTTGATGTTTTCGATCAGCTCCTGGGCTCGCTTCTTCAGGATGTCGATGGTGGTGTCCAGCGAGGAGAAGTACAGGCCTGTCTTCCCCTCCAGCGTGGCCAGAGGGCGGCCGGCACCGGATGTGGCGACCGAAGGGCTGGACACCCGACTCCTGAAAGTGCAGGAGGCACAGGTCGGCACCAGCCCCACCCAGGGCGCCAGGCAGACCTGGTGTCACCCCCGGAGGGGGCCGCTTGCCACCTCCCCTTGGCTGGTTCAGTCACACCCCTGCCCTGACAGGAGGTGGCACCCCGGCTTTTTTTTTTTTTTAAACATTCTTATGTGGGGCCAGCGCCGTGGCTCACTTGGCTAATCCTCCGCCTGCGGCGCCGGCATCCCATATGGGCACTGGTTCTAGTCCCGGCTGCTCCTCTTCCAGTCAGCTCTCTGCTGTGGCCTGGGAGGGCAGTGGAGGATGGCCCAAGTGCTTGGGCCCTGCACCCACATAGGATACCAGGAGGAAGCACCTGGCGCCTGGCTTTGGATCAGCGTAGCGCTGGCCGTAGTGGCCATTTGGGGGGTGAACCAACGGAAGGAAGACTTCTCTCTCACTGTCTAACTCTGTCAAATAAAAAAAAAATCTTATTTAATTCTATTTGCAAGGCAGAGAGACAAAGAGGAAGAGAGAACCTCCGATGGTTGCTCACTCCCCAGACGCTCACAACAGCTGTAGATGGGCCAGGCTGCTGTGTCCCAGGGTGCCCATGGGCAGGGAGCCGGTTAGGAGCAGGGGATGCTGTAAGAGCGCCCCCTAATGGGAGATGTAAGTACTGCACCCAACACCAGCCCCAGGGCCCCTGTCTGCTGACACACACACAGCAGGCCCACTAAACCATGCCCAGAACAAGGAGGTCCCCCTGGTCCCAACGCCCGCTGTCCTCTGCTGGCCAGCTTGCTTCCTTTGGGTGGGCACTGAGCGCACACGGAGACAGTGACGCAAGTGGCACGGTTGTTTTAGCGGCTGCTCTGGACACCCGTGTCGGGTTTGCGTCCTGGCCCCTGTGAATGTGCACCCCGTGAGGCAGCAGTGGATGGTGGCCCAATTACCCGGATCCCTGCCACCCCCGTGGGAGACACGGATGGAGCTCATGGTTCCTGGCTTTGGCAGGCATTTGGAGGGGTGAACCAGCACATGCAA